AAGTACTTAGGACTGTTATTTCTAGGGGTTTATAATGTACTGTCTCAAGTAATATCATTAATTTAGAGTAGAGATGCCAGGAACTTGAATTACAAAAATTAGAAGCAGAAATTAAAAAATAGAAAGAGGAAGTTTGAAAGCAGGAACTTAAGAATAAGGCGCAGGAGCTGGATCTAATTAAGTAATATAGATGGCTTTAAAATCTAGATTAATCTAGCTAATATAAGTACTTACTAACTACTTTATAACCACTTACTAAGTACTTGACTTCTTCTTTAATATTTTTAATATATATCTTTACATATGAGCCAGAATATATATTCTGTAAAGTATATTTACTATAATCTTGGTAGATTATTCTTTCAAGTATTTATTAATTACTTGCTAACTGATTATCCATATATAAAACAGGAGGTCCGGCCTAATCAGGATCTAAGTATAGACTAGTTTGCAAGTAGTTGTTAATTACTTGCAAACTACTTCTTAATTAGTTTACACTTTACTTTTCTCTTTCTCATTCTCCTCCTCAGACTTCTCCTTATCCTCTTTCTCAGATTCCTCCTCAGATTTCTTATTATGTTCATCTTGCTCCTTCTCAGACTGTTTATTCTGTTCTTTATTATTCTCAGTATTATTCTTTTGCTGTGAAGCTTCAGGTGCTAGATTACTATAATCAAATTATAGAAAATATGTATATATCTATTTATCTTTACAGTAATCTTTCGCAGTTGGACAAATACTGCAGGGTAAAGGATAATCCATATTCTTGATCTCAGCACGCATCTTGGTAATGTGATGGGTCTAAGTACTTGGTAAGTAATGCTAACTAGTTAATAAGCAGTTTGTAAGTAATTATTAAGTACTTACCTTTCTATCCTGGCAGAGGGGCAGAGGAGAATGAGATCTATTAATATTTAACTTTCCAAGAGGACTGGACGCCAAGGTTTGGCTGACAGAAGTAGCGGTCTTGGATCTCGGAGTATGAGTAGGTGTAGGTATAGAAAGTTGTTTTTCTGCAGTAAAATCATTAAATAATTGCTTGTACCATTCTTTCAAGTAGTTAGTAAGTAATTGACAAATAACTGGCAAGTAATTTACTTACTAACAGCATTATTAACCTGCTTTTGTGAGGCCTGTCCCCCCTTGTTGCCAGCCTTGGTAATAAAATCCTTATGAATTTATAAATACGAGTGTAGATTATTTGTAGATGAGTACTGCTTCTTTTTTTAGTAGTTAGCAAGTAATTGGCAAGTCATTAGTAAGTAGTTGAAAATATACTTATGGTCCTCTTTGTGCATCCCTCCATCCTGCAGAAGATCTCTCTGTAATGGACTTCATGCTCGAGGTTATCATTCTAAGTAGTTGGCAAGTAATTGTTAACTACTTCGCAAGTATATAAATAAGGTTTCATTGAAGTGATACTGACCTGGGTAGGGGCGGGAAGCACCAGCTGGCCAGCAGCCACGGTATACAAGTACCATTTGTAGTAGTTCTATTTTCATTAATAAAATTAGTTTAAAACTACTTTTCTCTTATATCAAGTAGTTATAAACTACTGAGAAAGTAGTTATACTTATGTTTTCCTTGAGTTTGGCCATGGTGGTCGGTGGTGGTGGTGGTGGTAGTAGTATTAGTAGATGGTAAGAAGATTGAAAGAGGTGGTGTGATTTGAAATTATTGTTATGGGTGATGCGACAGTCACATGATCTGAGAGTACTTACTAAGCTATTTTGGGTCGCGCCAGTGAATTAACGACCATCCCTCACCTGCACCCACGACTCTGGGCACCTTCCTGAGAATCAACCCAGTTATAATAATTGATTTCCGGGACTTGATTTTCAAGACGTATTAATTTTTTCCTCTAGTACCCGCCATTTCCATTGCCCCGGACATACGTGAAATACACTTAAAGACAACAATGGATTGGGACGCTCTGTTTTTTAATGTTGCCACTTTGATTGCAGGTGTGTTTGTTCTTGACTATGGCGCGGATAAATTCATCGACCACACCGTCATTGTCGGGCGACGCCTAGGCATCTCGCAGACTGTTATTGCTCTCTTGACTGCTGGTGCTGAATGGGAAGAAGTCTGCAATTCAATGCAATTCGATCCAATATCTCTCCTGGCTAATCCCTCATTAGCTCGCCGTGGTGGTTGCCGCCATTCTGCAGCGTCGCAGCTCCCTGGCCCTTGGGAACGTCATGGGCTCGACTATCTCCAACATCCTCGGCGCCTTTTCTTTAGGGCTACTCTTTTACCCCCGGGGTCTGGAGTTTGACCGTAGCGCAAAGTTATACTCGGCCCTGCTGTTCATAGTTACGACGCTCTTCGTGATGCTGGCATTCTTCAACCAATTAAACCATATCGTCGGTGGGGTCTTGATTGCTATTTTTGCCCTCTACATCGTCTCTATCATCTACGCTATATATAAGGGTGTAGCCTCACCCCCAGAACTATCAGATAGTGATAGCGACGGAGAATCCAGTGATAGCGAGGACGACGAATTCGCCAACCACGCCCCTCTCTCCGAGACCTCTCCTCTCATCGCGAATGATCATGCGCCGTCATCAACAGACAAAGGGAGCAGACGATGCAGAAGCCTTCCTTACCACATATTCCAGCTCATTCTCGGATTCATCTCGCTTTCACTGTCGGGATATATCCTCTCCCACAGTGCCGTCACCATCGCCGACTCCCTGCATCTCTCGGGAACCGTCTTCGGTCTGACTGTTGTCTCCTTTGCTACTACTCTGCCAGAAAAACTGGTAGCAATCCTTAGTGGTTCCCGCGGCCACGGTGGCATTATGGCCGCGACGACGGCAGGAAGCAACATTTTCCTGCTGACGCTCTGTGTTGGTGTCGTTGCTGTGGCAGGGTACCCGGCACAAGAGGCAGATAATTTTGTGCTTTTTGAGCTGGTGGCAGTCTGGCTCTCCTCTCTGGTATTCTGTGCTGTCATCTTTTTAGGACTTGGGAGGAGTGCAGGTGTAGTGCTCTTGGTCACCTACCTCGTGTTCCTTTGCTTGGAGTTTACCGTTTACCGGCGTTGATTAGGGTAATCTGTCCTCGTATTTTTCAGCGCCATTTGTGGAACAATGTACGAACATGAGACTTGTATAGCTTCCTTTAGATATAGATATCAATATGAGAGCGGGAAATTCTGTACTATGCATCCACACTGCGCCAGATCGATCAGGTTAATGTTAGTTGGGCAAAAATACTATTAGTAATCTCTTCACGTGGACAGGGAGCCCCGTTCTGTTCCGCGTACGCTCAGCCCCGGAAAGGACGACTCCTCTCAACCTGTTCTATACCTGAATAGCATCGGTCCAATCGCTCCCCACACTCTGCCAGTCAGAACGTTGTTTTGGCTCTGATTCACCACGACCAGAAAAGAATTCACTCTATGGGTTCTCATCATTATAGTGCCCAGATGCGATGGATCAAGAAGCAAAGGCGCAGCAGGTATGCGGCAATTCAAGGAAATTTTCTGCGATTCTTCGTAGTCTAACTAATTCTATCAGACATCCGATTGACTTGCTCGCAGACAAGATTACGTCCGGGAGCTAGAGGAACAAATACGTGCAATTCAGCAGGAAACCCGGCAGACGGACATCGCGAATCGAATCGCCTTGCAAAAAATGGAGATGGAGAACCACCTCATCAAGAATCTAATTTTGTCTCCCGGCATTTCCGCCGCCTCAGTTAAGCGTTACCTGCAGTTGGCCGACCAAAATCCACTTGCGGATCGTAAGGTGGCCATACCTGCGGCGATCGGGACGCCCTTGGTAGCCTCCTGCCAACCCTCTCGCTCAACGTCGCAGCAGGCGACATCTAGCGTCGCTATTGAGGACTCGGTTGAGCAGCGTTCGTTAAATGACAATGCACAGCCAACCAGCACGATTTCAACTCAGGAATCTACAGAAGAGCAACCAAAGTGCACTATCTCACCTTCATGCAAGAAGAATACGACAGACCATCTCGCTTCGGAACCTCCACCTTATCATCAAAATACATTCAATACAACCCTATAAGTTGCCTCCGAGGAGTCTATTGATCGACACATTGCTCAAGGGATAGATAAAAATGACCTCCGACGCAGAATATGCCCGGGAGTTGAGAAGACTGACCTCGGTTGTTGCCGAGTACAGAACCACGTTGTATTTCAGGTCTTAGATAAGATCAGCGGCAAGAAATTACCCTGAGCCGTTGACAAGTTGGCCCCGCCTATGTCGTAATTAGCCGCCTGGCTATCGTGATATCAGTAACTGCGAGCCGAAATAGGTCACTGCATATGACGACCCCAGCCCTGCCACTACTTACGCGACAAGCCCAAATTATTTTGAGGGCCTCAGTAAACCAATCTGGCTTGGAACACGTTTACGCAGCCTGACTTATGCTGTTCATTATACATACATAGAATTCGACTATGGCGGCCACTTATACAATCTCTATTACTATACCTGCATGTCGGAAATGGCTTTCAGCGCTCTCTTGTTTTGCACCAACATCATGAACACACCGCCAGAGGAAGGCATGAAACTCTTGGTTGGGATTCTCTTCGTATGCTGACCAAGCTTTCTTAATATAAGTCTTCAGCTCAGCAAATATCTCCTTGATGGGGTTGAAATCTGGAGAGTAAGGCAGCAAATTTAATAGTTTAATACCCGCGTCAGAACACAACTGTTTGACCCGGTCGGAATGATAAGAAGATGTGTTATCTATGATAAGCACGGATTTTGGCTCCGGCCACCTCCCACAGTGTTGTAGAAGCTGTTCAATAAATGATTTAAAGAATACTGCATCAGTTGAACCTTCGAAGATACAAGACAGAATAATACTGTCTTGAGTATATACTAGTAGTATCTGGTAGTACTGGCCTTGATGAAATTTTGACACTTAGACTGGTGTCATGCCCAGTAGTGACCTGTTTATATTCCATTCTTTTAATGCATCCAGATTCGTCGACGAACACAAGATGATACAACCGAAACTCATAGTTTATACTGGTAGAAAACTCGTAGTTCAGGATTATGTTCTTTTGCTTTCTGCTGGGCTTTCCTTTTAGTCCAGCCAGCTCGGGAAAGAGCATGTCTAATGCTGGATGACAATGGTAATATATTGAACTTATCGTATAGGAAGATAACCATCTCTGCTATATATAGGCCGGGCTTTTCGGTGAGGTGGTCATAGAGAGCGTCCAGCATGATAGAGGTGATGCTTGGTTGTTAACTGACAGGTACTAGGGGAGACCTGGCACTACCAAATAAGTGCATGTTCTTACATATGTTAGTAATAGAATGCTCACTATACTTTTCTACCTTTGCCATTTGTGATGTAGTGAGCCTGTTCTTGCTGTGTATCATATGGATAATCATCTTACATTGCCAAGAATCGATGTTTCTTGCAATTTTATAAGTGGTTTGGGTGTTTGCAGATAACAAGCTTATGGGGAGCAGTGCGTGCGGACAACTCCATAGTGGTGGGGATGATTATTTTTAGATATATAGTACTACATAACTATATTATTTACTCGTGTCTCATATGCTTTGCAATATGTCAATGCAATCATAAAACAAAATTTTTAAATACGGAGGTAGCCATATCAGGATTAGCGTATCACATGGTTTGGATTTGAAAGAGTGTCTCTATGTTTCCCGACATGGAAGGGAATAACAGCTAGCACTGTAACTAACTATTTTATTGATACTAAATCCAGTTACTATTTACAGTCAATTTCCAGTACAAATATCTTTTGATAGTAAGTATAGATGTAAGTGTCTTTCTTGCTTCTCTATTCTCCCAACCTTCAGTTAATAGAAAAGCGGTCTTGAAAATGTCTTGGGTATGATCAGCATCTCTACTTAGTACTGCAAGTATTAGTACTTGTCTGAGTGACCGGAAAATGATTTACCCTGGTTGCCATAGTACTATTGCCTTTAATATATATCTTAAATCCTGAGGATGCAAATGGACAATTAATAAAAATAATACTCTCCAACACTGCTCAATCCCAGTAAATGGGAGCTAATCAAACAACGAGGAGAAGATGAAACAGCACTTCTATATCTCTATATATTCTCCATCATGTAAACTGACTACCTTCTTGTTACCGGCTATTTATCAGCTCAACGCATAATAGAAAGACTATTTGCAGAGCACCTATGGGAGTAGCCTTGATGTCATTCCTTTGTAAAGATTAATTGTATTATTTCTGGGACTTGGCAGAGCTGCTGGTTGAAAGGGTCACTCCAACCGAGCCGCTATGCACAGGTATCGATTTCGTTATCTCAAATAGCTGATATATATCCCCTTTATCCTACCACGGCTAAATCACATATGAGAGGTATTGCCACACGTAGAGGACGACCTAATTGGCTGTTGATCTTGCACAATAGTAGCCAGAGATTTGGTTGAGATCGAATAAAGGCATATTGCATCATCATTACTAGAATTTCTACCCTACCGGGCATCATGGAATTGAATACGAGAAATCGCTCGTCTGGATCGAAGGTTCCAATGATGGCAGCCAATCCGATCGAAGCGCTGCGGGAACCTGAGGGTGTACCCCTGCTGAATACGAGGGCCGAGATCATACTTTATGGATATATATCACCCCTCTGATCACCATTCTAATGTGATATTGGAATATGCATCCACCCTTTCTCCCAATCTGAATTTAACAAAGAACAATCACGGCCTTGGAATTGTCATGCCTGTTGAAACCGCACGCGCTCTGATTCAGCCAACCGCTGAATCTAATGCGGATGATCTAACCCTCCAAACCGACGTGGTTGCCAACCCCAACCCAACGAAAGGCGAGCACTTGATTCATGTCCAGGCATGCTCCCCTTGCGCCGGAGAGCTTTCCTGGCCGAAAAACTTTCCTCCGTCCACTGATCGCCTTCTAATCCCATGTCCCGATGTCTCCGGTACCGTTGTCTCTGCGCCCCCAGATTCCCCTTTCCAACCCAGGGCTGAGATATATGCTCGCACAAATTATGCCGGACCTGGCAACGCTCGTGATTTCACAATCGCGACTACAGACGAGCTCGCCTTTAAGCCAAAACTTTTGACCTGGGTCGAGGCTGCTGCGGTACCAGTATCAGCCGAGACTGCTTGGCAGATTCTCTTTATTAACGCCGGAATAGTCCCTCCTGAGGGCGTGATGGATATACCCAAAGCGCGCGCGGCATGGAAAAACAAAAGAATACTGGTCACGGCTGCATCTGGTGGCGTTGGGCTGTGGGTTGTGCAGCTTGCAGCGAAGGTGCTGGGCGTCGAGGTGATCGGAACATGTGGACCCGACAACATCGATCTGGTACGATCGATGGGGGCCAAGGATGCAGTGAATTACCAAGTTACTGACCTGAAGGCCTGGGTAGAGGAGGAGGACGGAAGGCTGGTGGATGTGGTGGTTGACTGTATAGGAGGACGAGCACTCCAGGATGCTTGGTGGACAGTGAAGGAGAAAGGCACGGTAGTAAGTATTTTCCAGCCTCCTAGAACCGTCTGTCCATGGAAGAATCCGAACACAAGGGGTGTCAAAGATATATTCTTTGTAATGCAACCAAGTGGCACTCAACTAGGGGCGGTCGGCGAGTTGATTGAATCGGGAATGTGTAAGGGAAGGGTGGATAGCGTGTGGCCATTGGAGCAGTTTCGGCCAGCGTTTGGAAGGCTGGCGACTGGCCATGCGAGTGGAAAGATTGTATTTGACTTAGGCCTAAATAGGTAGATGAGACACCATCACAGCAGGTAATAGGTAGGTTGAGGGTTTGTTTCTTAAGTTATGAAGTGCAATCCATGCATTCAACACTGATTAGGGTTTTATCAATTGTAGAAATGCAGAAGAAAAACATTTAGGTGGAATATGAATACATAATTGTCATATTAACTGTCTTCGACCCTACATAAAAGTATGACCTTTTAACAGCATTATTATCATCTCATCTCTGAGGCCGCAGGCACAATATCATCATTGTTGTTTTACCTTGGTAGTACTATATCTCAAAGTTAGATCTCAGACTGGGTGTATCAGCGTATACTATCAGTGACATAATCACTATTTATCCTGCAAAATCTAGAAGGAATAAATTGTTTGACTGGAGGTCCGACACTGCTGGAAAATTGATGTTATTTCGCTCTCCCGGTCCGAGGCCCATTACTTCCTATAGTAAAGCACATTGAAGAGCCCAGAATACTAGATTGTGCCGGAGTCCGGTTATTAACATGCATGGCAAGGCTCCAGTAGCCGTGTATCATCTTTGTTAATCTGTGTGCTGCTATCTATTTCTATATGGCCGACAATCCCCATACCTTACCAGGGGGTCTACACCAGAGGGGTAATGACATCGCAGTGCAATGCTATTAGGGTGCAGGAACTCCAAATACTCTAATCTATTCTAATTAGTCAGATTTCTGGCAAAGGAGGGTGTAATACTATTATATTTCTGACTGTAATATTATTATATTTTGGAAAGATTTTCTATTAAAATTCTAATATATTTAAACTGTGCTATTTATTTAGTATTCTTTTAATTTTCAGCAGTATTACTATACTGGTAGAGTAGATAATTATATTTAAATTTAATAAGTTAACAGAAAGAAATATTTTTATTAGAATAATCTCCGGGAGTCCTTCCTGACCAGAACTAGAATAAAGACTTGGCTCTGGTTAAAAAGGATTCCTATAAACTATACCAGTAAAACCTGTAAGTTAGAGTAAAATCTATACTAGAAAGATAATAATATTGTAGTATAATACTATTAGAATACAGGAATCTTAAATACTTTAATCCACTCTGATTAATTAGATTTCTGGTAAAAAGAAGTATAATACTATTATATTCCTAGAGTGGTTAACGGCCAGGGTAGAATAGATTAATAGAAAAATTTATACCTGCTGTCAGGTTAATAGTTAGATATAAGATTTTCTTATACTTAACCACGGAATAACCAAAAATAGGATAATTAATTGTTTTAATTATTCTTAGTATCAAGATCTATTTATTATATTTTTTTAAGTCTTAACATGGATAAGATATACTCAGGTTAATAATTATTTATTTTAATTATTTATATCTTTGTTAATAATTAATACAAGACTAATTTTCTTAATTTTAAAAATAGTTAGAAGAAAGAAAATAGCATGCTTTATCTTATTCTTATCTATTTAATCTAATATTATCTCAAATAATGGTAATAATCAAGTTTATAAAAAAAATTATTTCTATAATATAAAATAGTAATAAATATATATATTTACAGCTTTA